TCATGAAAATAATTGAAGGAATCAGCATATTTCTTCATTTTAAACGAACATTTTAGGACTTAAAACATTAATTTTATCACTTATAAATATGCATAAATTCTTATAATATAGATCTTCGTGAAGAACACAGTTTCATAAACACTACATGAAAAATATTTGAAAAATCAACTATTTGAAAATAGTAAATGTTTTTCAGATTTTTTTTTTTTTAATAAATAAAAAATATAATAAAACCTAGATCATGGAAAAACAAGAAATAAAAGTTTTAAAACAATTAATTGTAGTAGTTTTTGCTGAAAATAGGAGTATTTTTACTTGACAAGATAAAAAATCACATCTTTTTTTTTACACAACTTCCGGTGAATCTCAAATTTTTCACTTAAAACCTCAACTTGATTAATACAGAATTAAAGCTTATCAAATGGATAAGTTTTTTTAAAGTGGAGTATCTGTAGTATAGTTGGATGATGACTAAAAAAGATCGCGAATAATTTGATTCTTTTAAAAACAAAACTTAGCTAGGTTTAGCCGCTCAAAAGTCTTCTTTAAATAGTTTTAACAATTACAAACTATGTTAGTTTGAATTAATTTTTTTCTTGTTTACAGTGAAGCAACTATTAATTAGTTAAATTAAATATTTCTTTAGTTATTGCTTTCTTTTCAACAAAAACCACAACTAACTTAAAAAAAACACAAAACTTGAATTTCCTACTTTTCTGCTGGAAATTGGCTCACTGTTTATATGAACTTTTTTGTAGCTCTTGATGTCTGCTATCACTCATATAAAAATTTCCCTCTGCTTACGGGAAAACCTGAATAAAGAGATTCCTCAACTTCTGAATGACTGCCTATACACGGTGGGCCAGACCCCCTTACCGTGCACCCCCCCCCCCAAATCCCTATAAATTGCATATCGTTGTGTTCCTTATAACAATTTATTAAAAAAAAGCCAATGTTCCCACAAAAAAAAGTGAACGCACTGCCCCAAAATGGCGTCCAAAGATGGCGGATTGACGACTTTGACTTTAGTTAGTTTTTTGGTCACTGAGAATCAGCATTTGGCTTAATTTCCTCATAGTTGGTCTTTTATTAAAGCTGACTAGTCATAGAATAGTAAAACATGAAGAAATATTAAAAAATAATTGGCTTAGGCTATGAAAAACACCAGTAAAGTCAATTTTTTTCACAAAAAAATTTTCAAGTTACAAATCAAGCTTCGTTTGTAATTAAACGGCCTACAATAACGCAAAACGTTCTGAACTAAATCATCTGGAGAATATAATTCTCTTTCTAAAACGCTGATTATTTTTATAAAAATTTTAAGCAGTTCCGTTGAAAATGTAAAAAATGATATAATGATAATAATAAAACTTAATTAAAAAATACTTTGCTAAATATCTTGATTTTTTTTTTAATTTAACGTTTGCAATTTAACACTGTGTTTTGTATATTTACTGATTCTTAGAGGAAATTAAAATTTTTATATACTTCCCAGGAAATGAGTCATATTAATACCTGTTTTATAAACTAAAATAATATATACCTAATCTGAACCATATATAATAAATAGCTACCGGGTTGCTTAGTAAAACTCATATATTACTAATTAAAAAATTAATTTTTATTTCCTTTATTTTGTGCGGAAGTTGGACTATATCATAAATAAATATGAAATTTTAATATTGAATGAATTATTCTCTCTGCACAAATAAAGATAGAAAGGGTGACGCTATAAGTTCTTCTACAAACCAGAACTGATTGTTTGTTTTTGGTATCAAAATGAGGAAAAACGCAAAATTGAACCAGAAAATTGGAAAAATACAGTAAGCGAATGAGAAAGGAAGTGCCAAAACCTCGGAAAAGATAAAAAGGACCAGTATCCATTATATAGCTAAATGAATGTTTAGTAGACAGATAAACAGAATATTTCAAGATGCTGCTAAAAGGGGGTCAATTGCAGTTTGGATGATATTAAGTGGACGACGTATGTTTATTATGGTGAAAACCACTTTATTTTCGATTGCTGAAGGTGCACATCGGGACTATCTTCACTTTGAAGATATAGAGAGTTATATCGAGAAAGTTATAGCTCATAGCTCTCCTTCTGTTTAGTGCATTTGTAAAAGATTTTTTAAGATTTTTATATTAGTTATAGCTCGTTATTGTTCAGAAATTGTGGAATGAATTGTTTGGAATTTGTACCATATCATAAAAAAATAGGAACTTTTAATATTGAATGCATTATTCTTTCTGCACAAAGAAATGGAAAGGGCGAAACCGAACTGCTTCGCACAGTTTTGAGAGTACATAGGCAACAAGTATATTAGAAAATGATACGAAAGGACTGTGGTTTTTACCTTTACAAGAAAGGAGATACTAGGAAATGTAATATCCATCAAGATCCATTCCTGTTTAGTGTACCAAACAAATTATACTCAAGAATCGTAGAAGCTGGAATAAGAAATATTGTCGATTGCCAGAGCGATATTGATTGAGAAACTCCATAGAGGTTATAGAGAAGTCCATATAAAAAGAAAAATAGCTCTCTATCTACTTAGTGCCTCACACATTGGATTGTGCTAATATCTAATTGTCTTTCAGAAAAGCTCGTCTTTCTTTTCATTTAGCTATATAATGGATACTGGTCCTTTTTATCTTTTCCGAGGTTTTGGCACTTCCTTTCTCGTTCGCTTACTGTATTTTTTCCAATTTTCTGGTTCAATTTCGCGTTTTTCCTCATTTTGATACCAAAAAAAAAACAATCAGTTCTGGTTTATAGAAGAACTTATAGCGTCACCCTTTCTATCTTTATTTGTGCAGAGAGAATAATTCATTCAATATTAAAATTTCATATTTATTTATGATATAGTCCAACTTCCGCACAAAATAAAGGAAATAAAAATTAATTTTTTAATTAGTAATATATGAGTTTTACTAAGCAACCCGGTAGCTATTTATTATATATGGTTCAGATTAGGTATATATTATTTTAGTTTATAAAACAGGTATTAATATGACTCATTTCCTGGGAAGTATATAAAAATTTTAATTTCCTCTAAGAATCAGTAAATATACAAAACACAGTGTTAAATTGCAAACGTTAAATAAAAAAAAAATCAAGATATTTAGCAAAGTATTTTTTAATTAAGTTTTATTATAAAAACTAAAATAAAGTGGTTTTCACCATAATAAACCTACATTGTCCACTTAATATCATCCAAACTGCAATTGACCCCCTTTTAGCAGCATCTTGAAATATTTTGTTCATCTGTCTACTACACATTCATTTAGCTATATAATGGATACTGGTCCTTTTTATCTTTTCCGAGGTTTTGGCACTTTCTTCCTCGTTCGTTTAATGTATTTTTCCAATTTTCTGATTCAATTTCGCGTTTTTCCTCATTTTGAGACCAAATCCAAACAACCAGTTTTGGTTTATAGAAGAACTTATAGCGTCACCCTTTCTATCTTTCTTTGTGCATAGAGAATAATTCATCCAACTTTTGCACAAAATAAAGGAAATAAAAATTATTTTTTTATTAATTAGTGTTATATGAGTTTTACTAAACAACCCGGTAGCTATTCATTATATATAGTTCAGATTAGGTATATATTATTTTAGTTTATAAAACAGGTATTAATATGAGTCATTTCCTGGGAAATATATACAAACTTTAATTACCTCTAAGAATCAGTAAATATACAAAAAACAGTGTTAAATTGCTAACGTTAAATAAATAAAAAATCAAGATATTTAGCAAAGTATTTTTTAATTAAGTTTTATTATTATAATTATATCATTTTTACAATTGAGGTCTTCTTAAACGACCTACGTATAGAATAAAGGAGGTTAAATTAAAAAAAAATAATAAATTTTTTTAAATTTAATTTTTTTTTTTACAATTAAATTATTGCATTAATATTTGTTCGTTAATAAAACCAATATAATGTACCAAAAATGTTATTATATCACTATAACTAAGCCATTTATGTGTACTGAATGGTGTGGTACAGGCCTGTAGGCACCCACGCCAGTACCGCTTTTCTGCCGCATAAGTGCATCTTCTAATGAACCGCTTAACATTTTTTAAAAGATAATCAGCGTTTTAGAAAGAGAAAAATATTCTCCAGATGTTTTATTTCAGCACGTTTTGCGTTATTGTAGGCCGTTTAATTACAAACGACGCTTGATTTGTAACTTGAAAATTTTTTTGTTAAAAAAATTGACTTTACTGGTGTTTTTCATAGCCTAAGCCAATTATTTTTTAATATTTCTTCATGTTTTATTATTCTATGACTATTCAGCTTTAATAAAAGACCAACTATGAGGAAATTAAGCCAAATGCTGATTCTCAGTGACCAAAAAACTAACTAAAGTCAAAGTCGTCAATCCGCCATCTTTGGACGCCATTTTGGGGCAGTGCGTTCACTTTTTTTTGTGGGAACATTGGCTTTTTTTTAATAAATTGTTACAAGGAACACAACGATATGCAATTTATAGGGATGTGGGGGGGGGGGGGTGCACGGTAAGGGGGTCTGGCCCACAAACTACTAATTTTAATGGTTTCGGTTTAGACACCACAATAGTAATTTGTACTGAGAAACTTTCGTGTATCAACTTTAACTTTTTTACGATCTTGTTTAGAATACCAAGGGTTTGGATTATCGAGATCATCCTCTACTTCAATATTTATCGAGAATTTTTTCGAGAGCATGCCATGGCCAATCTAAAGATCTCCATGTTTCATTGTTTATGGAAACTTATTATTATTTCCAGGATCAGATAAGAAAAAAAATAATTACTCTATTATAATTTTATTAATGATAGGTCTATATTATAAAATGCCATTTCATGAAAGGAGTTTCAATATAACAAAAGTTACTCACATGAGCATGAAGCTGAGTAACAGAAGTAACAATTAACATTAAAATTTTGGACAAGTTACATCCATTACATATTATTCAATAGGTTAATACAATCGCTTAACTTGATTAATTACCTTGTGAAAGAGCCATGACAGCTCTCACTACATTTTTGGTACATTCATATACCCTGTCATTCTTCCTGTCAAGATCTGCAGTCGGAGTCGGTTCCATTTTCTAAAAAATAAAAAGTATCACTATAAAAAGCCAATTATCGATTAAATTATAATATCAAAACCTAAATTAAATACCTAACTGCAATCAGCACAATTTTATGTTAAATTCCAACATTGATTCAATGTTTATCAATTTATATGCTACTATATTTTGTAAATAATCAAAAGTCCATTATATTTATCTTGAAATTGGAAATACTATATATTTTTATTTATTATTTTATAATTAATTTCTTCTTTTATAATTTAATGATGTGCTTGAAATGCAATCAACAAAATTATGTACATAAATGCGACCTCACTGAACTATTACCAACTTTGAAATCATGTTATTCTTAGGGGTTACTGTTTCCCATGTTACCTCACCATTACCACCTATCTAGTGCTCTCTGCAGTTAATATTATAATATCATATATGAGATCTCACATCATTTTGGGAAATTTTATTTTCTATTATCATCAGTATTTACCGTTCAAGATAATTTCAACTGCCAGTAATTTCATCTATTCACAGTCTTGCTGACAGTGGTAGTGTTAACATCACGTTTTATCCATTTGAAGTTGCGGTATCTTTATAGTATGAGAAGAATAGCCGTGTTGTTGACAGTGGAACAGTGCAGGCCAACTTCTTTGAAGAATATGGCTAAATACATTCAGACCAGACCTTATCTTTTTATTTTTTTATTATTATTAGTTCTAATTATAATTTAAATTAAAGTTTTTTGTTTTTATTTTTAAATACCAGGTAGTAGTGATGGGTGGGGGAAAGTTCTTCCAGATATTGAGATAAACGATAATCAATCAGTTGATGTGTGTAATGAAGATAACTTAGTTAAAATGGAGATGGAAGCAAATGTATATTCTGAAATTAATTCCGATAAAACTTCTCAAATAAATAGCAATCTTGAAAAAAACAATTTTAAAACACAAAGATATTATGAATCGACAGACCTAGGACCTTATTTTGTGTTTATCGAAAGAAGTTCAACAGAAGGAGCAGAAATAGATCATTTACACCCAATGTCAATAGGAAAACTTATACATAAATCATGCTGGAAATTGTAATAATATTTTAAGAATAAATAAAATGGGTAGAAATAGAGTCAACATGGGAACTCGGCAAAAAGAACAAGCTAACGCATTAGTTATGTCCAAAAATTTTAAAATAAAACAAATTAATGTTTATATACCAAGTTTTACATTAGAAAAAAGGGAGTTATTAGAGTTGTCGGCCTAGAATTAATGAAAGCAGAAATCATCAATAATTTAAAAACATTGTATTTAGACACTTAAAAAGTTATGATTGTTAGACATTTTAAAAAAAGAATTATCAATAAAGAAACCGATGCTATTGAATTCAAACCTACTAAGTCAGTATTAATTACATTCAGAGGCCAATTTCTACCTCGATATATCACGATAAACCATGTGAGGTGCGAAGTTCACCCATATATTCAATCTGTAATACAATGACACTCTTGGTTTATTGTTTGGACATAATACTGCTCAGTGCAAAAGTACAATTATACTTTGTAGGAGATGTTCGGATAAATATGAAACAAACAAATGCCCACCAAATTCATTATTGAAATGTATAAACTATCATGGGAACCACTCCTCTTTTGCTAAAGAAATATGTGCCAAATTTTTTAAACAGAAAAATATTAAAGAACACATGAGCAATGATAACCTAACGTATAACGAGGCTAAGGCCAAAATAGAGGGTAAATCATATAGTTCGGTAGTGTTACGAAATACTCCCGAATCCTTACCAACTTTAGATCAATCTAAGAATAATTCGGCTAATGGTAATAAAAATTACATCAGAAATAAAATCACGGATGGTATGGTATAAAACAATGGACGAATGGTAAAAAAACAAAGGATTTCGAGTCATCAAAAAGAAAATACCAATGAGGAATTAAGAGAAAATATCATTAGGTATTTTTCTGCACCTTTGTTGCCCTCACAACTTATCACAGATGATCCATATAGACATAAAATGTATAAAGATGAGGAAACTTCTTCAATAAAATAAGATAAGTTAAATATATTAACAGATGCACTTCTCTTGGTAGTGAATACTGTCTTAGCATCCAAAAATGAAAAAGCTACCGAAGATGAAATAAAAAATATGATAAAAGACAGAACCCAAAATTTACCCATACCAATATAGTAATCCAAACAAATAGGTAGTATTAAAAGTTTATATCAAAATTATTTCTTTCTTTTTTCTGTTGGCATTACAGACCATGTAGATCTTTTGCCGCCTTAACAAGCCTGCTCCATTTCTGCCTGTTTTGGGCTATTTCTTTCCATTTATCAGCATGCAGCTCTGTTGCATCTTTGTTGATTTTATCTATCCATCTGCTTTTTATCAAAGCTATTAGACTTTGATAATATATTTAATTGAAATACATAAATATTGATTACAAAACAACCAAATATGATTGAATCATTAAACTTATTATAGTGGAATGCCAGATCTGCCTTATGTAACAAAAATAGTTTAGAATATAGTTACATCTCTCTTATATTTTACAAATAATAATAATATAACCTCGGAAGATCACTTTATACCATTGGGATACTTCCAAAATAAATAAGAGGTTGTTGAATAAAAAACAAAATTATAAGAATATGAATAGCATAAACTGAAATTTACAATTATTCTCTCTCAGGTATGGGTTACTGACAATCAGATTAACTCAGACAAACTATTATTATTTACATTGTTCATACTAAAATTAAACACCGATTTTAAAATAAAGGCAAGTATGAATAGGCAAGCTAACCTAACATAGCTTAGAATATAGTTAAACAGTCTCCGTGATCCCCAAGGTCGGTTGGCTAGATGGGCACTGAAACTGCAGCAACACCAATTTACCATAATTCACCGTCTGGACAAACAAAACGCTGCAGAATTACCACGTTCGGGCGAGGAGAATGAACAGGTGATGGTCTCAGATAACGTGCGTGAAATGGGAGATCGAAAGGCTTTTGCTCAGAAATTTGATAAAATGTCAGTTCTGTATGAAGAAGTGGTAGAACGGCTACATAAAGCGTACGAAAAGAGTAGCCAGAATTACAACCTTCGGCGAAGAAATGTAGACCTGAACGCAGGAGATTTTGTGTGGGAGAACCCAGGCGCTTTCTGATGCTTCAAAGAATTTTTCTAATAAATTGGCACCTTTGTATGAAAAATACAAGATACTAAGCAAACAAGGGAATTTACTTTACGTTTTAGAGGATCTACAAGGTCGTCCTTTAGGAACTTGCATATCAAAGATTTGAAACCTCATCAAACTTAACATCCACATTTCAATCCTAATTTTTTTTTCGGTAGGAAGGGGGAGAGTTTGTAACGAAAAATGAAATACAAAAAAAAAATTAGTTCGTAAAATAATTGTTACTTTTTTTATTAACTCGAAGAGGGTTAAATATATAATTAAGTATTAGTTAATTAAGCATTTAGTATTAGTTTTAATAATAAGCAATTGTTTATAATAAGTCTAGTTTTAAGTATTAATTGTAAATATTATTTTTAAGTCAGTGTAACAGAAAACAGCTGATTGGGAGGAAAAACAAAAGAGAGTTTAGAGAGAGATGGAAGAACCTCGCTAGTGTTGAGGCACACTAAGGATTTTTGTGTGTGCAATACTTTAGTTTTACGGTGTACACCGGATTTTCTTTTCCTCTCCAAGAACCAGTGATTATCAGCAACGAGTGCTGCTTGATTTTACAAGTTCATGAATGAACATTTAACAGCTTGAGGAGGTAGACTGAGGATACCCTGACGACGCTAGTTCGAATAAGTTCTCGCTTCTTCAGATAACCCAATATGCCAATTGGACAGAGTTCAACCAGTGGGATATTGTAAATATATACATATAAGTTTTTTTTAATCTATTTTTCCCCTAATATTTGTAATTGGTTTATTGTATAGTCGTAAGTTAATGTTTAGTTCTATAATAATTTTATATCCTTTTTTTTTATAATTAAAGTTAATTGTATTTTCTTTGTTTTCTAATGAATCTAATTTCTTGTTCATAATTTTCATTTCCTTTAACAGTTATTTAAATCAATAGAAATAAGTAAATTCATCATTAGTATTAATAATAGCCAGTTTTATTTTGTTTTCACGTTTTATGTATATATTATATTCCTTTTTTTTAAGGTTTAATAAGGAACTGTAAAACCCTATTCGAGGGATTAGAGAAAGTCATTATTAACCAAGTAAGAAGGTTCGATAGGTTTTGAGGTTAATTAACATGTTTTTAAACCCATAGGTTCCGAGTTCGTAGCTCACTCCGCGTCCTAATATTTTTTTTTTAATTAAATTTATTCATTTATTTATTTTTGTTTGGTTTTCGCTATTTTCCAAATTCAACAAATTAAATAGTGTGGCACTCGTTAGACTCTTAATTTAATTGACTCATGATTATTTTTTATTATTATTATTTTTTTTTTTTGCGAACCCTGCAGTCTCCACTAAGCATCTGGCAAGTTTGTAGTGGAAACGATTTTTCTTCACTGCAGTCACACAACAACTGCTTGCCAAAAACAAAATCCTTTGTCCCTTCTCTTCTTTGGGATTTTCCTTTCTGGGGAATCTACAGAGCAGCCATTTTCTTTCCCCTGCACTAGCAGAACTAGATTAGCTTGGCTCTTAATTGTTCAACATTAATTTATTAAAAATTTTTTACTCACTTCCAATAAAGGTGTACATTGCAATATTTTTTATTTTCAGAAAAAATTGATATGGCTTTAATCTCGGAGACTTGGTTTAAACCAGGCAAATATTTCAATTTTCCATGTATCAATGTTGTTAGATGTGACGGTTATGGAGGTGTACCGATTTTAATAAAATTGAAATACCAATTTAAACTAATTTTTCATTTTCACAAAATTCTGAATATTGATACAGTTGCTGTAAGTATATCCATATACAAAAATTAGGAATTAAGTGTTGTATCCTTCTAAGCAAAACCGGGCAATAAAGTGACAAAAGATAATTGGGAAAATCTGTTAAGTTGTTTTCAACATTCCGTAATTATAGGCGGAGATGCAAACACTCATCATTATGAGTGTGGGTATGATTTATTCGATAAGATGGGAGTAAATTTAATTTCAGCAATAGAAAAAACTTATCTTGTTTTGTTAAATGACAATTATCCGACACTTGTGAACAATATAACTCAGAAAATAAACATCGCATTGGATATAACATTAACCTCAATAAACAGTGGCGGTAGTTCTACATGGAAAGTTCATGATAATCCTTTAGGTTCTAATCATCTCCCGATAATCTTAGAAATTCAATATAAAAAAGATGAAGCTCAAAATATCTATAAAACTACAAGAAAATGGCCAATTAAATCTGCAAACTGGTCTGACTTTGAAAGAAATACCCAGGAAAACACCCTGTTACTCTCAGATAATCTTAAGATAAGGAATTAATTAAATTTCTTAATAATGCATGTGGAAGTACCATTCCCTTATACAATCCATTTTTTTCAATAAAAAATACAGTAGAAGTTGGTGGGATAGCGAATGTGGACAATTATAACAATCTATAAAATATATAAAGTATATAAAAATAAATTTATAACTATATGCCACCTGAAAGAAGGAAGCGTGGAAGGCCAAAGAAGAAATGGATAGAGGACGTGGAGGAAAGCATGGCAGCCAGAGGGCTTCGTGAAGGAGATTGGATGGACAGGGAGCAGTGGCTTTTGGGTTTGGGGATATGACTCTTTAAGTTGCATAAAACCAAAATAAAAAAATATACATATATAAAAATAATCCTACAACCGATAATATCAAAGGTCTGATACAGAATTCAAAAATGTTACAAAAAATAAACAAAAAGATTCATGGTGATCGTTTACTGCTAGTATCAATAAAAGTAATTCAATTAAAGAAATATGGAATACATTATCCATTCTAAAAAATCGAATAACCGCGAAAAGCTTGGTCTCCGTCATTATAGACTGGTGCAAGAAGTTTTTAGACATCTTAGTTCCTCCTTAACTAGTGCCTCAAATTATATACGCTAATGATACGAACAAAGATAATGATGATTAACAATTAACAAGGAATTTTATTTTGCCAGAACTTTTATATTCAGTTAAAAATGATGCTAATAGCTCCCCTCATATAGACAATATTCACTATATAATGCTATATAAATTACTGATATAATTACAAATTATATTATTAATTGTACTCAATAATATATAGCAAACTAATGTAGTACCAGAGTCATGGATGGAATATTGTGTGTGTGGTACCTATTCTATAACCAAAATTGGCTTCTTCCTTCAGACCTGTTTTATTAAGTTCCTGCGTACTAAAGACATTCGAACTAACGACATTCGGTTGAAATCACAGTATAAGCTATCTGACTTTCAATATGGTTTTAGAAAAGGGAAGTCGAGCATGGATAGTTTATTGGTCTTGAACTCTGACATAAATATAGAATTTTCTGAAGGCAAAAAAAAAATTAGATTATTTTTAGACATTGAGAAGGCATATGACTCAATTCCTATACACATACTATCACAAAAAAATGAAGATATTAAAGTCCCCAGAAAATAATTAATTTCATAGTGAATTTGAGTAGTGAAAGAAAATAATTTTTAAGGTTAATAATTGCATAATTGGCACAAGAAACGCTCAGATTGGTCTACTGCAGGGAGGTATCCTTAGCTGTCTACTTTTTGCTACAGTCTCAGCAGATTTAAGAAAATATATACCCAGAGAAGTAGAGATATTAGAATTCGCTGATGACACTTGTGTATACGTAACACATAGAAACATTAACCATTGTCTAGAGTTGTTAGAAGAAACATTGAGGGGTCTCAAAAGATGGCAGCTTGATATTAGTATGAATATTTCAGTCTCTAAGTCTGCAGTGTGTCCCTTCAGTAGAGAACATGCATTACCGCTAGGAGATTGTATGTAATTCTGGCAAGGATTACATTCCCATGTCTGACCTCAGCTTGTTTACTGGGTCTTTCAATAGAACATTAAATTGGAACCCACACATAAAGGATGATAAAAAAGAAGGCTGAAAAATAAAATTGACTTGTTCTAATAATAAGTGGGGGGGGGCAGATCCTAATATGTCTACATTATTTTATAGAAGTGCCATTAGAGCAATATTTGACAAGGGACCTAAAATTTATGGCGAAGCACCTGATATTACCTTAAAGAAATTAGATAGATACATAACAGGTGTTTAAGAATGTGCTTAGGGCTTCTTAATTCTACCCCAATAGACATATTATATAACAAAACTGGTGAAACATATTTAAAGTTTAGAAGGCAATTATTAGAAGATCGGATGTTTATTAAGGTCAAAGCTAGGAATTACAAATGCTATAATAAAATAGTATCAATGTGTGTACTTATCCTAACCTCAACATATTGGAAAAAGAAAAAATGTGCTCCTCTTATTAATGATAGCCTTATAAAATATCAACAATCAACAGAAAATTTATTTTCTAATACTAAACTACCTCTATATACGCATGAATATGATATGTTATTTAAATCATTTAACATAATAATTAACACCAAATTCAACTCATTACCTCCAATTATGATAAATGTAAATATAAAATTGTTACTTATAGAAAACTGTCCACAACATATTAATATATTTACAGACACATCAAAAACAAGAGATAATAATGGCTCTGCCGTTTACATCTCAAAATATAAATATTCTGCTCAATATAAACTATTAAACATAACATCTATTTCCAATACTGAATTGTATGCAATATTACAAGCACTTGAGTTTAAAAACAGATCTATTGAAAATAGATATGTAATAATAACTGATAGTATGAGCTCATTATTAGCAATTAAAAATAATAGCAATATAAATAAAAATAACATTTTGGCTAACGTTATCAAAGAATACTTTAATGCAATAAACAATAAAAAAACAAATATTTATGTGGATCAAAGTGAAGAGGTAGACCGTCTTGCTAAAACCTCCGTTAAATTACCTTATGTTACAGACATCAAACTGCCATATAGATTACTTTCCGATGATTAAAGAAAATATGATAAATAAATGGTCCCATCACTATCACGAATCTCCCATAGCTAGATTTTATAAGTATAATGACCACAAATTCTGAAC